AACTCTTTGCCGGTCCTTTGTCAACTCTAGCATTGTGCCTATGCGGTCCATTAAGCTTTCAAAGCTCGACGCGAGAAGAGGGGTCATACCGAGGTGCAACCTTATTAGGAGGACAACTCTAGATAAATCGAGTCGATCGAGTCCAATAGACGCGACTCTCGGAAAAAGAAAACCCTTTCAAAGAAAAAAAAGAAAAAAAGCGAAAAGGAAAAAATCGCATGGCCCCCAGCGCGTTGGAACGACTATTTCCGCTCGTCAAAGGGAATTATTATTAATTATTTTTTTCATAACAAGTACATTTCTCTTTCGCGTAATTATTTTTATCTCTCACTTGAGAATCATTTCATTTCACGTTAAATGCCAATAATCGAGAGAGTGACAATAATGGTTAGGGAAAATTCTGCAAATATTTAGATACGGAGATCAATGTAAATAGTGATTTATTGTAAAAAGGAAGAAAGGAAAAAAGCGTAAGAAGTCGGACTGATGAGAAAAAAAGTTTTTCCTGGAGTCACCGGGATTCGATCCTGCGCCGTTCCGATCGAAGAGAGTTTTCCTCCCGGGAGGGTCATCGCGCTTTTCCATCCGACCTTAAATCTCCCTCCCTTCGAACTTCCGTTCCTCTTCTATTCTTCCGCGGTTCTAATGTGTCGGTATAAATCGGATGGCGGATGGTTCCCCGATACGAGGACAAAGCCGGAAAATCGCCATTCTCCTTCCCTGACATTAGCCTGACATTTTGGGGCCAAGGAACGGGGGATAGAGAGAGGAGCTCGGAGGAAGATCGAAGATCGATTGTTTAAGCTTCGAACTGCCGGGTGGATGGTTAAAAACGCCAGAGGTGGTTCTCTTTTTATTACAAAGGAGGAAATAAAAAAGAAGGAAGTAAAAATTAAAGACAATGGAGCCGCTGAACGTGGCCCATCGAAGTCGGCTCGTTGGAAGTGATCAAGGGTCGCGCGGAATTAGAAAAGGAGAGAAAGGAAGAATCGAAAGAGATACCGGGAAAGTCGCAGAGCTCGCTTTTCCTTGGTCGAAAAAGGGCCGAGGGATTCCCGCGAGCCGTAAAATGCCAGGTGGACATTTTCCAGGCCCCAGAGAATCCTTCGTCTGATGTGAAAGCTCCCAACTCGCGTAGCCGTTTAGCGAGAAAAGTGCTTTCAGGCTCGCAAGGGAGGCCTTTGCCCCGATGAAGTCCTAAAACTGTAAGAGAAGACTGTCGGCCATTTTTTACACTCCGGGAAGGAGTGTTCTGGCGGCCATTTTTATTTTTTAAACCCCCGTGAAAAATAAACGCGCGTCCTTTTGAGTAGGATGGACGCCGCTCCGGTGGAGCTCGTGTGCGTAAAAAATTCAGAGAGAACAGGAAATGTCGGGGAAAAAGTGTCGAGAAATCGCGAAGTGCAGCCAACTTCAGGGACTCTCCCTTGAATTTTCTATGCGAACTCGATCGGACGAGCACTTCTCGTATCGGGGGGGAAAAAAAAAGAAAACGCGGCAATCATGAATTTCCCCTCGATATCGCCGTTTCGCGTCGTCGATTGTTGATTGTTAACCCGCGTCATCGATATTCCACAGATATTCAATACGTCATTCAGACATGACTTTTCAAACAGCACTCGTAGACATAATTCCCGCTTGCAAAATTCCACCAAATTGACCTTATTACGGAAATATAACATAATGATATAACCGGTACAAATATCATATTCGATATCATATTCGGTCGGTGGGGGAATTCAAATTTTGTTACTCGGAGCGAGATTGCCTGGAGGGATTGTTATTAACTTCATTGTTTAGACACTTTTTCGGAAAATGTTTCCAGGCATGGCAGGTTTCGGTAATTCTAGACATTCACGGTAGAAATTTTAATGGCCTCTTGACATTCGATAAACAATCGGAGCCATGGATGAAAAATTCGTGTAATGTTTCAGTATTGAAGAGGGCAATTTTAACGAGTCCCCGATACTTGGCAAACAATCAGAGTAATGAAAAATGACGAGGAAAGGTCGGTTCGATCGACATATGTCCTGGGGATGTATTGATAGGAACATCGTTTTCCCATCAGCGATCCCACCCTTCGATTTACTATATTTAGTTCACATTCGATATTACTAGAGAAAATTCTCCACCTTTACCTATTCACGAGGGAGAATTTTATTTTCGAGCTTTCGCCATTTAGCGAGATATTCGATAAACGGTCGAACTAACCTAAAAGGATGAGGAAAAGTTGCTTCGATTGCCATTAGCCGTATGTCCCAGCAGTTTATTGAAGGGAACATCGCTTTCCCATCAGCAGTCCCCCATTCGATGTTCCGCATCTATCTCATATTCAATTTCCTCAGATACAAAAAAAAAGAATCCTCTAATTTTATTTACTTATAAGGGCAATATTTTATGCATCCTTACAATCTGATAAACGATCACATAACGTAGAAGAGCGAGAAAATTCCTGACTCTAATCTCGCATCCTGGCAGTATATTTAAGGATTCATTGTTTTCTATAAACAATTCCACTTTTTAATTTCCCATTTTCAGTCAACACTTGGCTACTAAGAGCGCCTGGAGGCGCCCGACGTTAGGTCGAATATTGCCTGCACGGTCACACGAACTTCGCCCATATGTCGAAATGGCTCCGTGTTCAAAGGGTTAATATTAGAAGGTAGAAGGAAAAGTCTCTATTTTTATTCACTCCCACGTTTCCTTAAGCGAATCGAACTGACATAAAGGGACGAGGAAATGCCAGTTCGATTGACATCGGTCGCATATCCCGGAAGTGTATTGAAGGGAACATCGCTTTCACGTGGAACGTTATTAGATGGGCTCGCAATCCATCCTTTGGTTTCCCAATGCGCGCTCGAATATACGAATGTTCTCCGATCCCTCCATTTCCTATTTGTACCCGACTTTAATTCTTGAACCGATCTTCTCTCGTATTACCCGGAGCGCTGCCAGGGCAGGAATTCGATTTCCCGGGGAATATCTCGCGGCATCTCGAAATCCGAGGTCGAGATTGCACTTTTTCGACAAAACCATCCCGCAATTTATCGCCTCGAGCATTCGATCTGTTAACGAGTCGAGGAACTTTGGAAACTCCGAATAGAAGCCTCGAAGGCGATGCCTAATTTATGGACTTTCTTCCTAAACGGAGAAAAGTGAGAAAACTAAAGTAACGTGGATTATCGCGCTCGTTAGCTTCGCCATTATACATGTATACGATAACCCTTGTTAAATACACACGTATCTACTTAAAATTATGCACACGTGTTGCGAGACGTGGACACTAATGGCGTTATTTCGTGTAATATACGGCCCTTTGTTGGTCGGTTTTTCCCTCTTCATTGTTAGCCTGGGAACAACAGCTGGTAGATTAATTATTCTACCGATGTGGTTGTAATTTTTCTCCTCTTATTAATAAAAAAAAAATTACGTACAAAGTGCCGCTCGTATATTTTGAGAAATTTCGGAATCTCGTTAAGTAGATATAAGGTAATAAATAAATGACATAGAAATAACCAGTAATTAAAAAGGGGTTAATATGTGTTATCGTCATTTTGTCAAGAGGAACTGTCTCAAGATGTGTCGCTTGTACGTACACGGTGGCTTTGTTTTATGCCCTTCAGAGTAAATAAATCTTAAACATTGTTAAGTGTCCCGATATATTGACACGAAAAATGCGGTTTATTATTATTAAATGCCCCGAGTACATTAATGTAAGGGACTCGAGCGTTGCAAAATTGCAAGGTAAGTTTATGCCGAGGAGAGGACCCAGAAAATCTTACCCGGAATAACAAATTGTTTAGAGAATGTCACTTTGACGCCTTAGAGAGCTTACGGTGGTGTACAGAATAGCCCCATAAATCGTGATAACTGTAAAGCCTGAAGTGCCCGAATTGGAAACCCCGTAGATGTTCACCATGGGGTGGAAGATTTTATATTGGCAAACCCTGTTTACGCGGATGGTTTTACCGAAACTCGTTTTCTCCCCTAGTCGGGCCTTAATATCGCGAAAAATGGTTCTCAAGCCATTACGGGGGACCATATTTCAGGATCGCGTAGAAGCGATCCGAAATCCGGCGGGAAATTTAAACGTCCCTCCGAGAGGCGAGAACAATTAAAAGTCTAACACAGAGCAATCGGCGTTTTACGGAAAAGCAGGGCAAGTTTAAAAGTTTCGAGGACACTCGAATGCCCAACCTGAACCGCACAGATTTCAAAATTCACCCTCAATCGGAAGTTTCCTCGAGTTACTCCCGTAAGCTCTGCAAAACGAAGAGAAAATCCGCTCCATTTTCTTTTCATCTCGACATTTACTCGGCGCCCTTTTTTATCCTATATCATGTTGCGATCCTCATCGTTCCTCCACCATTTTCATAATATACCCCGTTACTACAATTTTAATCAAAATGGGAACCAAAATCGGAAACAGCACTCGAAATGAAAATCCGCCTCATAAAGTCGGCTTTTCATCTCCACATTTACTCGGTGTCGTTTTTTATCCTATATCATGTTGCGATCCTCATCGTCCCTTCGCCATTTTCATAATACACCCCGTTGAGATGATTTTAATAAAGATGGGTACCGAAACCGGAAACATCGCGACTCGAAATGAAAATTCGACGTATATCTACAAAGTGAATATGTACTAAAATCCTCAAAGGAAACAAAAACGACGAGAAAATAAATCGATGTATCGCAATGCGCTTTTCTTAAGACACGTACAATTGGGTATACTTGATCGAATACCAGTATACAGAACGTTTCGAAATTTAGTACATACTATATATTTCAAGTAGACATTTTTTTACAGTGCATGTCCCTAAGGATATAACCTCGCTGTTTCGATTTTTAATCGCATAACAATTGTCTGAGATGATTTCTCCTATTATTAACACTATATATTATGGGTTTCAGGATTTCTTAAGGACGACCTCCGGCTCGGTTTAATCCTGGAATTGAATAATATTGAGTTTATTCATTACTTAAGTAAATTGACTTACCGGATGACCAGTTAGTCGTGGGTGATTTTCTCGGCGCCAATTTCGAAGTCCTCTTCGTCTTCCGCGGTCTTCCTTTTTCTTCTTGATAATCACCTCACGAGAGTCGCATTTTTTATCCTTGCACTGATTTTATCCCCGATGGGGATGTTTTTTACCTTTCGGCTAATCCACGTCGTGTCGGAGATACGTCACGTGCTGAAGGGTTGACGATTTCATGTTCGTTACTCAATTATTTCGGGAACGACAGGAACGCGGTTTCCATGTCTCGAATCTAACGAATTAACGTCGGTTTTTCGCCAACTCTCGACAAAATCGCCACCGAGACCGATGATCGATCGTCGCGCTTTCGAGGGGAACTTTAAATTAATTAAATACCGCGGATATTTATATGGATATAAATCCAACGAGGTTCCCATTCTCCTGGCCAACTTCTAAAGTTCATTTCCCAGCAATCTTTCGCTTGTCTACTTCCTTGAAAATAATGAAAAAAAAAGAAAACAACGTACACTCTTCATCATTACATTCGAAAAGGAGAGAAAATCGAAAATGAAATACCTACAATTACCTCGTTACACTCATTGTGAACGTAACCTAAAATAAGAAAATTACACTTTACGATACTACCTCTGAAAGGAATAATAAAAACGAGAAAATATTACCTGTTATTATTCTACTTATTATCGGTACCGTCTTTTTATACCCTTTCCTAACGTAACCTGAGATGGAAGATCTGCACTTTCCGACAGCCCATAAAAAATAAAAACGAGAAAGAAATGCCTGCAATTACTCGACTTATTATCGGTATTATCTTTTTACAGTCTGCGAACGTAACCTGGGGTGTGTCTGGGGGTGTGCCCCTCCATGGGGGGGGCGATAACACCCCGTAAACTTCCCCTCGAAAGAATCGCGAGTTATCACCAACGCGATACTGGCTGTTCGCCAGGCGTCCCGGTGTTATCGGGTCATCCAGTTTCGATAACAGTGAAATGCGACGAGAAGAAAGGAAAACCCGAGAAATCCCGACGATACGAATGTCTTTACATTTTCGTCTTTGCCTACCAGCTCGTCGATTTGGAATTACTATCGAAACGTGTCCTTTCGCTTTCGATTTCGCTACGATCGAGTATCCTTAACGAGGTGATCGAGGAAGTGGCGATTTCGACGGGTTGAGTTCACTTTCGGAGAACTTGTGCGTGGGGCGCTCGTCGGGAGCGGAGGGCGCGAAGCACATCTGACACCCTCGGCGGCTCTCGGCCGACTGACCGACAAGCGCGGCCGACGGACGCTGCGCGCTCCCATGTGCGCGAACGTCACGGCGGACTCGCAACGGATTCGCTTAACGACTTACCTGTATTTTGAATTTGATCGAACAATTTCAATTGCGAAGGAGATTAAAGGACACATTTAGGTCGTTTAAAAATTTCCTTTATTCGCCCATCTCGATCACCCACTTCAAGGATGAACCGTGAAAATTTCAAAGGGAAATTCGGAAGGTATTTTATGTGTCATGAAATATTTGAAAGGTTCTAAATAATTTTTCAACCGTCATCGACTACTCGATGTACCTAAAGGGGTTAATTCAGTAATTCTCTCGCTTTAAATCACGTAACAATAAAATAACATACGTTTTGTCGTTATTATTTGCAGTTTTTAGAGAAGGCCGATGTAATAGCGGATTAAGGATGCTTTGAGGTTCTACATCGTGAATTTTGTTTAGTTTAGTAGTTACGCCTCCCGAAGATTCCTTGGCCGAAGTATTATTCGAGGGAATTATACTTGGCATCGTGCCAGAACCAAGTCCGACTTTATCGACTCAAGACGCATAAATTTCCAGCGATGGAATAACAATGCGGCATGGAATCCAAGAGTGAGAAATCAATTACGCTAAACCCGTCCGAGCTGCACCGATCGATGAGGGATTGAATCCTCGTTTATCTCTTAATTATAACACGTCTGTATATACGAGTCTCAGTGACTTATAAACGAATCTTAAATCGCGATAAAAAATATCATTACTGACAAATCTGTGTTATCTATAGAATTTAGGTTCCACTATTGTGAACCGTTGATAACGACTCACCTGTATGCCATTAGTCATTCCTGTGCTGTGTCCCTATTATTAATAAAAAAAAAAAAAATGAATAAATAAATGTTAAATGACTTTAATATAAGTCAGGGAAATTCCGGAGAGGGAAAACGTTAATAAAATAAGAGGAATGGCACCGCGGCCGCGGCATGCATACGGAAACCTCGCGCGTTTTATTTTAGGCCCGATTCTTTGTTTCGTCGCTTCTGTCGCACTTCCGGTTTCCCACGGGCTTTTTACCACGGGGAAGCCCGAGTCCCAAGAGTCCGTGGACGCTTTTAGGAGAGGTCGCGGAGTCGACGTTTTTAAAAGGCGGTTCCGAGCGCGAGGGCAGACACTCGTACAGAAAGCGAGCGAGAGCTTAAAGAGTAAATCGGACAAGGAGGGAAGACATGTAAAAGTCAACACGCGTCCCGTAGAATTGCCGAGACTTTCCGCTGGAGTGCCCGTAAATACGGGAGTCGGAGCGGTCACGTGACCCCCGGCAGTGCCACCTCGGCTTTTGCGTCGACGTTTGCTCGCTCCCTGAGATACCTTTTAATTTTATCGTTTCACCATTAAATTCCAGGGACGTGATAGGAACGAAGTGCCGGTCGCGTTTTCGCCGACAGTCGGTTTTAGATCCTCTCGAGGAATTTAAGGATTTTCGGGAAAACCAACATGGCCGCCTTGGAGCCGAACCTCGAACGCGGCTCTACCGTGGGGATTTTCTCGCTCGTAAAGCCGAGCGATTTTACGACGTTAGCGGAAAGCCGGGCCGATTTCCCGCTCGATTCTGTGCCTTCGGATTTTCACCGGCTCGGAAAAGCTCCGAGCCAACGAGGTTAGGATCGTGCGCTTTCGGCCGATTTCGCCTGGCGGGCAAATCGCGCGGAAACCACTCGATTCGATTTAAACGCCCGTAATAGCGGTCTGACATCGTTCCCGAAACGAGCGCAACCTAACCTCGCAAATCGTCCGCAAACTGTACGCACGCCCCGAAGAAGAAAGTAACGGAAACTTCGAGTGGAAAAAAAATACCTCTTTTATAGGCGATTAACTCTCGACTGATAAGATGACGGCCGCGTTGACCCAATTCGATAAGTCTTCGAATATTCCAGGAAGGATATTACGCTATCCAAATTTTAAATCAATATTGTTCATGAACGCCTTCGCCGATTACGGTGATTTTCGTCTCAAATGAATTTAAAAAAGTGTACAAAGCCTTTCTTGTACATATTACCACTTACACGTATATGGAATTATATATGTATGTAGACTACATTTCATGTACAGTTTTCGGGTAATCCCTTGAATTTCGAATTCATGATATTACACGTGCTCGATTCGATATAATCGATCTTTCGGATAATTCGTTTCGGCAAAATCGACGTTTCGCGGTAATAATTCCCTTGGATTGCTTTGTGGGCCTTGTCATGGGAGAAGTGGAATTGAAATTTGGTAACTGACCAGCGGCGTTTCGGCCGATAATTCCGGAAGGATTTTGATAATTTAGCGCTATATCCACGTACGGTGTGTACGCGTCAGGATTAATTAGACTGCACCTGTGAGCTGTATTGTGCCGCCGTTTGCACCGTGACAATCTGCCCAGCCTAACCTACCCTAACCTCACTTTCGTGTGTGCGTGGAAGCGACAGCAGACGCATCTGATAAGCCGAAATCAGCACATTCGAGTGAGCCTAATCTGCGAAAAAATTGAATCCCTAATGATTTTTCCCGAGATTACTGAATCTTTCGCGATGTTACTTACTCGTAAAACCTATTAACTCAATTTTACAGGTTTCATTAATAATTCTATTAATAGGGTGTAAAATTAAGTGGCATATTTCTGTACCATATTTCCGGAGCGCAATTAATTGGACTCCTTGCATAACCCAGATACTAATTTTGAAAAAAGATTAATGGTCGATGCACCCCCGACGTAACGAGGTGGTCGATCCATTATGCAGTAATTGCATTAATAATCAGTTTAACGTCAGTCTGCGAAGTCGAGTACGGCGCACATCGCTCCGCAGATGGAGACGCGAGAGGACGCCAAATTGTCGGTAATATCTGAATATTAAGACACTTTTGAGGGGAGGTCATTCTAACACTACAAATTCCCAGCATCAGAGCTGCGCTGTTATATTTTCTGTAATATTTTTGGTAGATGTATTTTTAATATTCCATTTTTTTAGTCGCATTATGGAGCGATCTTGGGTGCTCAGATATGAATTTTAAAATGGCCGCATATGTGCGTTCAACTAGCAGAGCTGCTTTGTATATCTGCGAGGTGCCTGTATTCAGAGCTCGGTATTACCACAGGTCGATTATGAATTTACATGCGCACATTGTGTGCTCTTCATGTAACAACGTCTTGGTACATGTTCAGGCGGTCTTGTAAGTACACATATGCGATTATCGCAGGGGTGCAAACGAGCGTGTACATTTATCTCGCGATTCTTTGAGGGTCAGAGAGACATTTTTTTTTTTATACCTCCTATCGGAGACGTGTCATAAAATGGATAGACTGCCATTGTAGAACATTTCAACGTAAAACTTATAATTTATAAACGAATGTATTAATATTAACATATTCATAAATTATAATCACATGAAACACATTTTTAGAAGATTTCAGATTGCGAGGTAGGTTCGGTTCAAGAAATCGTTTTGATTTCTTTCCGTATTTTCGGCGTTCCAAAAATTCCTGTCAGCGAGTTTATTTTTAATCTACTTAAAACAGAACCGGCAGTTTATACAAGGATGATGTATGCCTCTCTTCCAGGACAAATACTCGAAATAGTGAGCCGTGGAGAAAGAAATCAGGTCGAGAGGGGTTTCGTCATCGAGCTTGCTGATGTGTTCCTCCTCCTGAAATTCAGTAGATCAGAAATTTGCTCGGTAAACTCATCGGATTTGTTTCATGGGAATAAAAGACTTTCTATAATTACTACATGTACATACGCATTAATTATACATACACGCGCCTCGTTTAGGTATATCGACCTATCGGGAAATAAGAAAGTGAAAAGTGCCGATTCGAAAGAAAAATCGAAAATTTTCAACACACCCGACTTCCTTGAATCCAAAAACCGGGAAAATATGTTTTATTACAGAAATTCAATTTCATTTATGACCGGACGTAATAAAAATTTCAATGTCGCGCGCGCTTCCGGATGAACGTTTCGAGGAAACGGAACAATTTCGTTACGTTGTAAGGAACGAAATTTCGTCCTGGTCGGAATTCTACCTTGAAATGTACTGTCGTTAACACGGCTGTATTGAAAATCGATTATCGGATACTCTTTCCGCAGCGGAGGAGTCGCTGTTAACTGCTGTCGTTGTAGATAACTTCAGTGTCGACCTTAAAACCTGTAATGTCTTATCTCGAGCCTCGGCCTTAAAGAGCATTTATTGAACACGTAAATCCCCGTAAAATGAATAGAAAATTATGAACGGATTAAGTCGACTTTACGCTTCTTTAAGTAATTTAATAATTCCAAGGAGCTTACGTGCTATTAATTTTTATAATCTCCTTTACATCAGCATTTTATTCTCTCTTATAAAAGGGGAACTATACAGTTTGGTAAAAAATAACATTATTCTTCGTTTGATCCTAGATTGACTAAACGCTAAGACGTACATACATGTGTAAACAGGAATGTAGCTTTTTACGAGAGCGACTCGTAATCGCATCACTACAGATGTACAGACATCTAATCTTAAACAGATCTCCGCAGATAACGTACTTAATTCGATTTAATTGCGGAAGTATACAAGCTGAAGAGTTAATTCCAAGGAAAACAAAAAAATAAGATCACCTGAAAGCGTATTGCTACTTCTTCGACACTGTTAGAGAGCAAGGTGATAAGAGATAAAAAGGAGGAAATCTCCCCCCTAGGTCATTAAGCCCTTCCTAATTAAATCGCTCGATCTCATTTCTCTCCATCACATAGATAATCGACTTTTCCTGCACTGAGAAACACAAATGTTACTAAACCAAGGAAATATTTTATTAACCCAAAGAATAAATAGCCACAATTCCGAGGAAACGTGGCATTCACTTTATTCGAGTTTTCTTTCCACTCAATATTCTTTGAATTATGAAAATATTTCTTTGGTACTATTCAAAGAAACATTCTCTCGGTTCGATGGCGTTCTTTTCAGGGTATCATCGAGATAGCTTATTTTCTCTAGGTTTCCTTAAATTTACGTCTTAATTTTCGTGATACGTACGTCGGGTCGCCTTTAATTAAGGGGGCAAAATTCTTCCCGGGGCGCGCATAAATTACGAGGCTCCGAATAAGGCTTTAAATTATAAGGTCGCGCATCGGTGGCAAAATTGGCGGCCATATTGGAATCCTGATTTCCCGAAAAGGCTCGACTTTTCGGCCGTTTTAACTCTTCATTGACAAGCTGTCAAGGCTGTCATCGAAGCGCACTGACATCGGGCCATTTTCGGTGCGTTATCGGACGCGTTGCGGAAACCGCGGATTCGTGCCGCGTGCGGTCAACATCCCATTACATTTGCATCTGACCGAGCCATGTTGAAATCTGCGTTCACGAGCACCATTTTCCGTTTGGGCTTCGCTGCAGATACAGGCAACGTTGGTGGTGGTCCATTTCGATTCCGGGCGCAAAATCGAATTTCGAATCCGAGGCGAATCTTGCGCTTAAATGGACGTGCGAAAACCGTCGACTTGGTTTCTACCTCGCCCGCTTCTTCCCCATCAGTGCGGTTTTCAGCAAGTTCACTATCGGCGCCTCCAGAGCGATGGAAATGCAGAACGACATCAGATAAGAAGCCACCAGGTTCCCGAAGAAGACGATCAGCTGAAAATGGAGATAGCGTTTTTATATAAAATATCGACTATCGTCAACAGGGTTGAAAATCGACTTCTTCCGATCGAAATTAAGCTTATCTCTAATAACATTACCCGATAAAAATGCCCGAGTAAATTTGCATACCCAATAATTGATTATTTCGATGACACAATAAGTTGCGTCAATTATTCGTTAGTGTTAGTGCGTTATTTCCGTGGTTAATTATTGACATTTAAAGGGAAATCGAAATATCGGCGCCCGAGACAACCAGGGTTAGAGGGTGTTTGTAAAAGAATAATATTATTAATTAAAAATTATTAATATCGGATGACTTTCTTTAAGTTGGACGTCTCACTTGCGCGTATAATACTTCTTGCAATGCTTTCTTGAGCTTTGTTTGCAGGAAGTATTATGCAAAGGGTGTTGGAAATACTGTAACAACCCTTTTTTTATTTGCGAGAAATAGCGAGGAACAAGGGGAAATCGCTCGCAAATGTTTGCGGCTGAAAGTAGACGAGAGATCGTCGATGCTGCGATACTGCAGCTTTCCACCGTTTGCCATTGTTTGCACTTGAAATTGAATCCTTTTCCGCCTCGGCCTCCCCTTTTGCTAGTACATAAGGGTACCAGTGAAAGTACAAAGGAGCGCCTTAACTAGTATTCCTTTATAATTCCTTAATTTTCCTCAAACGAAGCCCTGTTTCACCCTGCCTATGAATTTCCCACGAGAAGCTGCAGAGCTGAATTTCTGTACAATTATTTATTTTCCATTGCATACCACGAGATCATTGTGCAGGTGCAAGGGTCCATCCATTTTGTTGCTGGTGATCATCATGATGACAGGGTGCACCAAATAGGCGCAGTAAGTCAACCTAGATAGAGGATACATCAGCCTCAACGACAATAGTTTATTGATAAGAGCAGCTGATCCGGTGCAACATTGGAAGACTATGAAAGCTACAGCCAAGGCCCAAGCTGTATGTGCAAGAGCTGCATAAATGGAGCTCAAAAAGACTGTCATATTTCCTGGATAAAGTCCATAGACAACGGAGAACATCACGACCAGCGACACGGGCCAGCCTATCACTCGGATTATCTGAAAGAGTCATGTAATTTAAAATTAAAATTACAAACAAATTTACAGCAAGAAATCCTGACGCGAATTTCGGCGTATTCTTTATACTCAAACTGATCACTTAAAAAATTATCAGCGTGCTCGATGTCATTTAAGATTACATCAAAAGCACATTTGCGGATCAAGAGAAACCGATAGAAAATTAAAAAGAGATTTTCCTGCCGTGGGGGATTTTTATTTGAGGTATTAAGGTGATGCGAAAGTGGCGTCAAAGAGGTCTCTTTCATGAAACTTTTCTCCCAGCTGGCTGTACTGAATCGGTTGAAATTTTACAACGTGGATGTGGAGGTTATAAGGAAAGTCTTGACACTTGTGAAGTTTCAATTTTTTGAAAATTTGTTCACAGACATTTTTGTACATTTTAGGTAAATTATAACATTTCATGGGTCCTTTTTTATAGCCTCCATATTCACGTTGTAAAGCTTGGAGAGTCAAGTTTCATGAATAATTGATCCTTGAGATGCCTCTTCCAGATTTCCTTAAGCTTCTATCTAACTTTGATTTTCGTAGGATGAACAATTGTCGCAGTGCGAATGATTGAAGAGGTTTTTGTTCGGAAGGTAAATCAGACTCGTAGTTATGTGCATTCGAAAAGTTGCTTTTAAGGCCAATCATAGTGGCTTGTGAGGTAAAGCACAATGCCCGGAGATAGGATAAAGGGGATCCAGAATGCAAGATTTGAATGGGAGGCTTTGTCCTACTTACCAGAGGACTGCGGAATTTGCAGTCAGTCTTGAAGAGGATATATCCGGTAATGGCGCCGACAAAGTAGGGACCTACCCTCAACCATGGCTTGTCGTACAACTCGTCGAAAAGCGCGAATGGTTCCTGGATCCTGGAAAGATAATGCACTTCGTAAAGGACCATCACTTATCACTCCTACCTGACACCTTTTTATTGCACCGAGACAGACAGCGCGTACTTCGTTGCTAGAAATGACATAATTGTATCGAAAATTATGAAATCGGTCTAAGTCATTTCTCGTTGGAAAACTTCACATTATTATAACTTCAATGCATTTAATACAAAGTACGGGATAAATTCAAATTGACAATGCCTTTTTTTACTTAGACCACTTCCATAATTACGAGTACATATAATTCAATTCAATATCAATTTCTTAAAATCGTTAATGATAATTTGGTCTCCGCTGTGCTGGATTATCGCATACTTGATTTGAAGAGACGATTTTATGCACGAAGGTACTGCTAATGTATGTTTTCTTTTAATAAAGGGGGAAATACCTTGATGCTCACCTGGCTATGTAATCATTTTTATAGGCGATCGTAAAGGTAGTGAACCAAGAGGAAGTCACCAAGAAAAATATGATGACAGCGACGAATTTGAAGAATTTGATAGACAGGATCAAGAGGAAGATCCCCAAAACATAAAATTGCGTGTCGTTCGCCATGTACCAACTCCACAGCATGCACTGAAAGTTGCGATAAATTACATTAATCATTATCCAAGATTTTGTTTAAATTAATATTAGGTTACCAGTAAATTGTAGCATTTGTTTTGTTAAATTGTGACTTGTAGAAAAAATTCGGGAAGTTGGTGTATGGGAGAAAAAATTCTGGCGATAAAGCAGCTGCTTCATTCTCGTTAGGATCCAATTTAGAAACTCATAACCCGGACTTACCATTTCCGTGCGAGGATAAAGTGAGTTAATATAGAGCGCGTTCCTCCACCAGAACTTCTCGCAATTTATGTGATCGAAAATCGCAGGGGAAAAGACCGTTCTTGACATAGCCTGCTTCATAAAAATCTCGTTCAGCCCGAGGACGAAAAGGTAGGCAGGCGTCAATCTAAAAATCATATCCTCGTCAGCCATAACAATATATTTTCATTATCCTAATCCGTCACTCTGGTGATTACCTGACGAATCTATACACGATCATGACGACGAACTTCATGAAGCCGGATGCCATGAAATTCTTTTTGTCATTCCTCGCATCTCTCTGGGACCGATAATAAATAATGGTGACCAGCAAACCACTAAACAAGCAAAGAAATCCCACTTTACAAGGAATTCATCTTACATAACAAAATACAAATTAAAATCCATTTTATTTATTTGAAAGCACTTAAACAGTGCGTTGGGCAATTTTGCGTTTACGTAACCCAGTAATAAACCTTGTTATTACGGTTCGTGGCATTTTTCCGATTGATCTCCCTTTCCGGGTCGTTTCGAGCGAGAATTTGCAATCTGACGGACATTTGTCGCGATAAGAAACCTTAATTTACATCGCGATGGGAAATTTTAGCCAGCAAACGTGGTAACGTTCGTCAGCGTTCACCCTGAAGAAGAAATTATGAAAAATGAGGGGGGAGAAAAAAAGTGGAGGAAATTTCATTTCCCTTAGAAAGCACTTCCGCAAGGTACCTTATGAAGAAGAACGTGTCGACGGAAAAGGTGGCGTTGCTGATGGTCTGGAACATGAAATTCCTTTCGGTCACAGTACGCAGTGTCTTGTTCTCTGGAAGGTAGAAAGAGAAAGGCGTCATCGCGAGTTATCAGAGAAAGTTCGGATAGGTCAGTGATCGGGGTCAGATCGATTGAGCTCGTGAAAATCACTGCTTGATTTTTCATTCTTATTAATTTTTCATACAAAATTGAAGGGATCCTTGGAGCCGCCAAAGTGGTTCCAGGATATTTCGGGAAGCTGGAATTCTCGCACGCCGAGAGAATTTTCACGCATAAGACTTAAATACCGAGGACGAGAAGAGACAAGACGTCGTCCTTTGAAGAGAGGAATTCCTGCCAAACCGTGATGGAAACGGAATTCCTGGTGGGCAAGAATTCTCAGATCTGGAATCCTCCCCAGGAGGCAGAAATCGCGTGGCGAATGAATAATAAGTTCATTTACCTCTCTCGATGAGATTGCACCGTCTAGGGAGTTTTTCTGAATTTTTTTTTATTTTCCGAGGCCATTTGCGAAACCAGAGATTTCCTCTGCAAGTACCGAGACTCTAATTAACGTACTCTGGCTGTATGTCACATCTCTGACAGGAGTAATGTGAGGATCTTAACGCAATTCTCTTCCAAGAAGCAAGTGAGCGGATATTGGTCTCCTACCAGTCATCGGTAAAATTAAAAAGAGGAAGACAAAACGTTCAACAGCGAAGGGAGGTGCAAGTGAAGTCAATATACTTCTTTCCACACCGCGTGTACAATTTCTCTGCAGCAGTGAAACATGACTTATTTTTAGCGCACAGTAGGCATGGCCTTTCAAATTTAACTAAACAATTATATTTTTCTAAAATAGAGTCACTTGGATACTTTACGAATTTTTATTTCATTTTGTATCGTCCAACCTTTTACGGGAAATAAAAATGGAGTCACCTGGGTACTTCTGGAATTTTCGCTTTACTTTTATTGCAATCCATCCGTTGTATAAGACACTTTCAGATGCATGTACAACGTGAAGACCCATTATTTTTGCGAATTAGCCTCCCTCGGGCACGTAATAAATTTTACCTTTAATTATTGCTGACTCACCTGCTATGGAAAATACTTGCAGGTAAGTGTGGACCATGACGACCCATGAGAGAGACAGGAACCTGAGACCATGAAGACAGGTGAGGCTGTCTTCAGGAGCAAGCTCGGTGCTGCAAATCTTGCTGCCATTCGCGACTGGGTCGAAAGCCAGCAGGAACCTGACCCAGAACCCTGAAGACAAGTCGACCCAACTAATTATCGCTACTTCTGAATGAAGAGCACAATACCTTGCTGAGAATTTTCAAGAAATACTCGACCTCTCTCCACCTGGGGCTTTGCGACATCCGCAGTCTGCGTCTTCTCCGATTTGTTGCTCTTTTTCGTCATCCCCTTGCCGTTTTCCTGGACCATCGTGATCCTCCGCTCTTCAGGGATGTTCCGGTCTGGGAAACTGTTGATCCTTTCGTTGTTGTTCCGTGCACACGGCGATTCGATGTCCCTTCCCTGTTCCGTTCCCCTATTCTGGTATATCGAGGCGCAGAGCATGAGAAATAGGATGGTGCATCCGATGCCCCTGAAAAACATAATATAAAAATCATTTCTACCGCCATTATTCCATTTTATTTATAACAAACGACCTGAACACTTCTATTACATTCGACGAATAATCAATCCCTAAATTAATAAAATAAATTTCAAACTTTCACGAAGAGGGGATATCGTTAATTTTATTGTATTATGTATTAATTATTACTTTTAAGAATATATTCGTAAGGACCATGTTTTTTCTATTTTTTTTTTTTTTTTTAAGTAAACTACGATGTTTAAAATGTGTAGATAAAATATTAGAGTTTGAAGGGAAATAAGTGTTACTCAGATTAATGTCATTGTATTATTTATTTATTTTCGAGAGTTTATTTGTGAGGATAATTAGACTCTTCATTGAAATTTCAGGGACGAGCAGCTTGGCATTTAGACCAAACTAAAACTCGGTTGAGCTTCCGCGTAACCCAGTTGCCGCGCGGTATATTAAGTGGTAATGGCATTGTTACTTAGCAACAATAGCATTATTGTTAGAAGTTGCCAACACCTCGCGGTGGGCTGCGGCAATAAAATCACCGCGAACGTGCATTAGAAGCGCGCATTTTCTCTTATGTAAACCGCAACTGTCCCTTCCCTTTAAATGCCAGCTCGCCGTTTCGCTGGGATTTCGAAATTGTTTACAAAATCCCAGTTTATTCTTAGACTTGCTCGGTCAATTAGGGAAAGTGAGCGTGAACTCGCAGTTATTCCGTGACGATTAGTCTATTTAATCCTCGCCTAATTTTCCCGCAACTGTTTAAAGAAAAAATTGTACGAGCGGTTATCGATGCTCGTATTAATAAATAAAAATGCGACGCTTAAATCAGATTTCGATGAAAGGATAAGATCTCGAGTCTTCGAATGATCCTATTAAATCCTGCAATGAGAGGGTCCGTTCTATCCCATTTTTTTTTTATCATCCTTCCGGATACCTTATCAACGGCGCTATATCGGATGCGTTTGCGAACTTTACGATGACCATCAGATGGATCGTAAAAGAAAATAGATTCATGCAAATTTATCTTTACGCTGGTTTCATCCTAAAGCCGCGTAAAAAGTTTATAAAGAATACACTGTAAAAGTTGTAGGGATTTATTTCAAGCCTAATCTTAAAGAACAATAATTACGCCAATCCCCATTATCTATTTTCTATTTTATTTTATGCATGTATAGAATAGTTCATATTTATTTCGAGACGCTTGCTGAAATACCTACATCTCGCAAAGGGCGGTTCGATAAATGAAATTATCGTTACACTAGTTGAGCAAAAAATAATCAAACAAATGAATGACTTGATCAATTATCCAATCGCAATTAAAAAATCGTAATTCATTTTATTTTCAAGTAAACGGGATATATGACTGACGTTATATGACAAGTAAATCGGTGCATGACGTGCAACGCTGAAAAGTTTGCGTGACCCATGAAACTTGCTTTCCGCCACCCCATAAAATCCTGGAGAGCTTTTTTCCCCATTTTACTTTATTATCCCCGCGCTATCCTGCAATATTAAAACCGATCGTGAAAATTCGCGGTTCCTCGTCGGGAAGGAAAATCGAAATGTTTCCCCAGGGAAATAGATTCCCACGTCGATCGGAAAAGGGGGTTAATAATAAAGGAGGCTTCTCTAATTAGATCCTGAAAAATGAAATAAAATTGGAGATAAAAAAAGGATTAAGGCGAGGGGAAGATTAAAAACGCCTTTTTTAGATACCGCACACCGGATCTATGCAGTCGGTGGAATGCACTCGAGAGTCTTGGCGCTTTCTCGAACGGAATTGAGGCTTTATGTAATCTTGCGTAATACGGATATACGTATGTTCCTGGGCACGTATCTTCCACGGGCTTACATAAAGGGATTAACGGGTGCGAACACACCTTGACAGATATTACAAGAAAGTGCATTTGAGAGTCTCATGATAGGAGAAAATGTCTCCGATTTTCCCGTATCGAAGAAAGATCCAGGAAAAAGATGTCCCTACTAAATTACCACGTCTGGAAACGTGAGAAGGAAATTGAATAAACAATTTTGTCGATTTATGAAGAAATTAATAATCCGAGGGATATTACATAGGAAGACTTAATTTGTAGATAATAGCTTTAGAATATTTCTTTAAAACGTAGCTGTTATATCTCACCAATGATTCGATTCTTACGAATTATGCATCGGCTTACATCTTACGATTTAATCTCGCAGAACTTGCACTTTCATAACGGCTGCTCGTTCGAATGTCGTAAACATTTTATTACAATACATGACTTCCGATTGAGCACGCACTTGAAAGTGAATTGCGCATTTGCGCCAGCGTTAGCAAGTGCGGAGCGAATTTCCTATTTTTTTTCCCGTTTTTCATAGGTTTTCACCTCGTTTAAATAGTTTCAAGGCAATCCACCTCGCAGTCCAATAGTTCGATATGTATTGTAACATCTGGAATTTGCAATTTATCATTGGCATCTAATCTCGTCGCTGTATATATTTATCATTTTTATAAGGAAATCCTTGATGCCATTTCGATGATTTATTACGCCTGAATGTTTATTAAGACCCAAGGCATCTTTTCTTCGTTTTTCATCTGGCTGTTTAATGCTTCAATATGTATTCAAACATCTAAAATTCGTATCGACTCGTCTGTATAATTTGGATTTAATACAGACCTTCAAAAAGATCTCATTTCCATGTCATTCCATTACCTTGTACTTATCTGCATATTCTGTTATTTTCATATCAGGATACTTTGCGATATTGCCATGATTTAGATTTATAAGAAACTTCAAGGCATCTTTTTTTTTTTTTCATGTATTCTCGATTCAACAAGGAATTTTAGTATCTGGAATTCGTATTGACTCGGTCACGTAATTTGGGTCCAAAATAGTCCTTGAAAATGCCGACTTTCTACATTGCTGCTTTGTAATTTCGTTACCACGCCGTCCACTTTTATAGCGCAATCTCTGGTGTTATTTCGATGAGGCTGTTATATCCGAACTTTTGGAAACTTCTGCCCGTGTAATGGAGAGGAAAGTTTTAACGATCAAAAAGTTCCCATTGTTCGGACCGTAGGAGGTCGAAATAAGAATTTGACTTCATACTTAATTCGAGGAGGGTGTAATTTCGTTATGGCGGGTTGTTTAAATTATCCCGCTCAATTTGTCCGTCCCGTTCGATCTTGCAAAGGAGAATGTGGCGAGACTTTGTCGTTTCCAATTTCACGCACCTTCCGGCACGCAGAAGGGGGGAAAGTTTTAATGACCAGACCGGAAAAAAGTGAGAACGTCCTCTTCGTTCCGATTTCCTGGGGCCGTAGTAAGAGCGCCATTTTGCTTGGCACTTAATGTAATTAATTGCTTGCCAATAAAGTTAATTCCATTTCGACGAGAGTCCCTCTCGTTGAGTTGCTTCCATTGAGCAACGCGACTTATTGCTGAATAATCTCGGTTCACAATAAAGCCGAATGATTGATCGAAGATTTCATCCTCTCAATTTAATAACACGCTTCCATAATTTATGCGAGGTTCTTCAAGGTCTGAACTTTGCTCTCATTAAATGATCATTGCATAACTCCATCCAGCAATTCACATTTTCTGAACGGCATCTGTATATGACACCATTTTTTAAATCTCCAAGTTCTCTCTCTGGCGGTAAAAAAAATTTTGCAATTAGTAAGTCCACAGAAGTGGGTGTCATTACAGGTGAAAATTGCGAAACGTCCCAGCTCGGGTTTTCACTTCAAGAGTCATTTTTCACATTCGCGTCGGCTCCCTTTTGCTACGTTATGTCCTTCGTAATGCAATGTGAACGGCGCTTAATTATCGAGGCGAAGCGGTCGTATTAGATCCGTAGAAATTGGAGCATAGATTGTTACTCACCTTGAGAGCCGAGCTATCGGCTAGGATTAATTATTGTCACCTGCTCGTTAATTGTTCGTGCCATCGTTCCTTGCCTTCCGGTGTGAACGTCCTTTAATTCCCGATCCTTCCCCTTCCGCGCATGAAACTAATTCCCGAAAGTCCGATCGCGAGTGCCCGACTCGATATCAATTTTTTCTTCCCGATTCTTTTTGCACTCCTTAATTGAAAGAGAAAAAAAAGAAATTGCGAAATTTCGTTAATCATACATGCGATCGTTCTCTCCCGTGTAAACGCTCTTTCAATCCTTTGAACACGGAGCCATTTCGACATATGGGCGAAATTCGTTTGACCGTGCAGGCAATATTGGACCAAACGTCGGGCGCCTTTAGGCGCTCTTAGTAAAAGAATTAATTCGCAATCCTTCCCCTTCCGCGCATGAAATTAATTCCCGAAAGTCCGACTCGATATCAATTTTGTCCCCGTTTCCTTTTTGCACTCTTGAAGTTAAAGAAAAATTACGAAAAGAATATCGGGAAAGAAATTCTTCTGGTCCTCCGATATTCCGGGCCGTCGATTAAATTTGCCCACCATTTTACACAGCTGGCTTGAAATGGAATGCCGAGGTTCCATCAACGGCATTATTATTAATTCGTGTATTAACGCCGGCGTTCGATACGATTTATCGTTTCGGGTCTATTTCCATTCGGCGGTTGTCGAAGTGAAAAACCCGATTTAAAGCGGACGAATAAGTGGATGAGCGAGGAGAGTAGTCAGCCATTATAATCCCAGGTTCTAATTGGAAAAGGCAGGAGACCTGCCAGGAAGAGCCATCGAATTCGGAAAGCTGATCAAAGTGGATTTTCTCGGCCACCAGTTAGAGCCGAGATAAAGCTCATTCGCGTTTTCTGCTTTTCCCCTTCGCCGATAAGAGGGAAAATGCAACCACTTTTCCAAGTGTCCTCGAAGTGGCTCGATTTCAAAACTACCCCCGCAGATTTAATCTAGATATATGTAATCTCGAGAAAGGGGAATCGCAGTGCACTCTATTTTTCTCCAAGGATTCATAACCTCAAAAGATCGATTTAAAAATCATAAATACACCGTTAAAAAAATATTAACCCATGAAAGATGTACCGCTTTATGATTTCATAGGCAGGTTCAAGCAATTGTTTAAAGTCAATTTATGAACATTGCGTACTGATTTAAATCATCGAGTTAGATTCCTAATTTTGGGATGACGACTTGTATACTGAAATTGTATGAAATTTATAAACATTTATAACAGTCTCTGCTACAACTAGACGGCTTAAGGGGAAAATGAAAATTGTTTAGACGTTATGTTATATTGCGGTTTCGAGGCAGCAAATTAATGGAATGTTCCTTAATCCTTTACGCAAGTACCGCAATTTTGCGATTACATGTCACAACAGTGTTTAACGTTAACCATGGAGTATGCAACATGACGTTAACGCAATTCCACTTCCAGGTCTTTTATTTCCCTCGGAACTCACGTTACAATCATACCAATTGCGGAATCACAATCGGGATTTCCAGCCGGACGATTTCCGCAACGCGGAAATTCATTTTTATTCCGCGAGCCTCCAAATTAGAAGGTGACGTAGCTTTCATGGCCCGACGTAGAAGAGAGATTAAGGAAGAGAAATTTTTCGATTAGCATTAATTCACGTTCACGGTACAACATAGTCGAGTCAGGAAATACCACGGAAGCGTGTAGAAAAAGTACGCGAAATGGCTGCGGAATTTTTAAATCAAGCCTACCCATTTAAAATCTAAATTTTGGGATTTTCCATAAATTCTAGAGAAATAATAACGAACTTCTGTTAATTTCTGTCGAATAAATTAGCTGTCGGAAAATTTAATAAATGTAAGTGAAATTTCACGGGGATTCGGACTTAATTACATGATTATCGAATATTCCGTTCTTACGGTCCAAAGAAATATTCAATTAATAAAAAAGAGAAGCACGGAAATCCATGGGTTTTGCTTCGACAATCTCGAGTATTTCAGCAAAGCTCCTCCCGCGTAAATCCGTACAGTTAATTAGAAATCCGCCCTAACTGGGACATTTATTGGAAATGGCGCAAGACGAGACCTGGCGAGTTATCGGAAAAAGCAAGGCCGATTGGGTGCTCTGATTAGTTTTTCTCGACAAGATTGGCAGGGGGTCTTCCGGCTGCACGTAATCGTGCGATCAGTTTTCCGCTCATTTTTTATTTTCATGCCCCTGATTAGGGCTCCCAGCGGGAACAGCGTTGAAATCAGGTAAAACGGTTTAAAATGTACAGTCAACGTTGCCGCAATTACTCGATACCTGATATTACCCTCATGCAGGGCCTCGACATGACATTAATTTAGTTGCGCCATGTTTTTCCAATGATGGCGCGCGGCGAGAAAAATTAACGCAAATAAGAAAAATTGCCGGTCCAAAGTCGATTCGAGTTGCGCGGGCCAACGTCCCCTTCGGCGCATGCGCGGCTTGAATGCCGTCGAGGTTCCCTAACCTAACATTCGAAAGTAGTCTGCCGGCAAGTGCAGGTCTCCTGCAAGCTCCCTCTTCCCTCCCCAGAGAGCTTCGTCCAGGTTAAAGCCGATTTGCAGGAGACTCGCTTATCCTCACCACCATGCTTGCGCAACCTTTAGATCCATAATGCATACTCCTTCCCGCCATTTTCCCATGCGCGTGCGCGCGCACCTTACGCAACGCTCGCTCTCCGTGGTTGCAGCTGTAGCTGCTGGGCAAACAATTTTCGTGTACCACGTGATTTACTTCTGGACTAAAAACACTCCAAACTTCAAAGCGGGGCGCTAGAGACCTGTTTTCACGAAAAACAGGATAGATTGAAATCGACTATGGCTGTACTGGCAACAATGTTGAGACTGAATTTCTTCATCATTCACGCAGATGCCGGCATGTTGTTTTTGAAAATATTTTCAACTGCGTTTATAAATGTTAATAGATTATATAGGAGGGATTATAGTTTTGGAGGTGATGAAGATGAGAGTTAAGAGGCTAGCGCCGCCATATTGAAAGATCCCTCAGTTCATAACTCATTGTGCGTTCCGCCATGTTCTTGTGAAAGTACTTCATAAATATACTGTACTGACAACATATTTGCGACGGAATTTCTTCATTACTCACGCACATTCCGCCGTGTTTTTGAATATATTTCGAACGGACTTCGTGAATCTAAATTTGTTGCGCAGGAGCGATTGTAATTCTGGAGGTGGAGAAAACTGATGTCAGGAGCCAAGCGCCGCCATATTGAAAAATGGCGTAGTTTGAAGTTTATATTCAATGTTTTACCGAGTTAGCGTCGGTTTTAATACTTTTAATATCAGATCCACCCATCTATTTTCCCTGGAAGCGAAGATTAAATCAGTCTGGATTGGACAATTACCGATAATTGAGATTGTTTATCACGCTCGAAACGCAATAAACGTGGCCGCGCTCGATGCGACTTCTTGCATAACGGGGCGAGAAAGAAAGTGCAGAAAGTGTTACGCGTTGCTCGCAGATGCACTCTTACTATCTTGCAGGTAAATACAGATGCGTTCGACCGGGAACGATTAAATCATTCTGTCGTACATTAATAATTCTAATGCAACACTAAACGTGCGGGTCATTTCAATCGTCCATATAAATTCCAGGATTTCTTCAGACCCGACCAAAATAACAAACGCTTCCTTGTCCACTTCTTACTTAACAGTTTATTTAACCAATATATAAATTCATAGCATCGAAATCGACGTCTTTTCTCCCGGAATCCGAAATTCGCCATGGGGAGAATAATTTCCAGCTCGTGTAAAATTCTCTCTTTTTAATTTAGATCCAAAATGGCCGCCGGCGGAATTCAGACCGGGATACAAAACCGGTAGCTCTGTTGCAACAATTCGACAGAATGTGAAGATTTTGCGTGAAAGGACTTTAAGGCAGCCTGCTCGACCGGCAAAACAGGTTTCTTCATCATTACCAAAGCGGAAGTGCATTTTCAGAAGTCGCTGATTGCGAAAGCTCAGACCACTCGTCGTTTAATCGTTGAAAGGCACAAATATCTTTTTCACACGATTCAAGGATCTCGGAATAAAATAAAAATCTGATTAATTGTCCTTCTAATAATTATCAGCAAATTTATTATCTCGTAGAAGGAATTCCTATGGGATTTTATTGTTTGCAATTTTGCAGGGATGTAAGGTGCATTGAACAGTGGGCAGAGTTTCGATGCTGATTTTTCGTACTCACAACAAAATGTAGAATTTCGGATCCGATGTCATGTGATAGTCATTCGATGGGATTGATTTGATAGCGACTATGTGAACTTTAGGACCACCCGTTGCGTGAGTTGCGTTTCCCTCTCGCTCTACTCTGTCGGCAGAAGCCCTGAGGAGTGACATCAAGGAAGTCCGATCGCACGTCCCCGGCAGACAGAGTCCCAGAAATACTTGCCGAGTCTGAAAGTGAAGGAGAACATCGGAGAAATTCCTCGAACGAGCTGCCGATACTCGTTTAACCTGTACTTTTCTCTCCAAGGATGCCTTAAATTCACTTCGAGCCATCCGAAGCCATCGGTAGTTTCATAGCTTATAGATAGCACGCTAACTACCACAAAATGACAAACTACAACAGCGATTATTTAACATTTTGTTTATTTTAACAATTCTGAAACCGATACCAATTTCATTTCGAGCAAATCTATCTAACCAGTGTAGAAAATCTAAACGTAATTTTCAAAGCGAGGAATTAAATAATTGCTAACACTAAGTGACGAACTGCAACCACTTGGACGATTATTACAAATCTTTATGAACAACTCTGAACCTAATAAAAATTTTCTCTTTGAAGAAATTTGTTTAATTAATGCGGAAAATCTGAAGAATAAAATTAGTACTATCACAAGGTGACATAAACTGCAGCTACTTGGACGCATGTTTAACTTTTTTTTTTGAACACTACGAAACTAATCAAAACTTCGTTTTGAAATAAATTTGTCTATCCGATGCAGAAAATGTGATATAAAAATTGAGGAAAAAAATGAAACAGCGTGGCCGAGTAACTCCACGTTAGGGCATTTAGCGATCAGGTGGAAATGCGACTTTTTACGCGATCTTCATCCCCATTGCGTTATTTCGCGGACATAAGAATTTACGAGCAGTTTCTCGGAAAAATGCCGCTTTTTCCAGGAATATTTGAAAAATCTCCGCCGCAGGGGTGAGAAAGATGTTCGTACTTTTTCACCGCGGCAACAAACTTCAAAACTAGGGTGTCGATCCGTTTTATGGGCGTACGTAAACTTAGGCGGTATGTGCAGCTGTTTCTTTTTTATATGTTCCCCTTACCGGGAATGGACGTTTCAACTTTCGACGTCGCTTTAACTCGGAGCCATTTTATAGAGGCAGAAATTACGGGACGTTTTGCAGCACGTCGATTTCAAATCAGCCGTGAGATATTGGACGGTAAAATGAGCGGAAACACAAAACGGCACACGCAAGACTTCTGCTTTCTGCAGACCAGTAGTTATGCATTAATATGCGAGCAAAATAGGAGTTGCATAAATAGTCGGCACGGCCTGAGCATTATTCTCGCAAGCTGAGCGATTTATCGCGCAGGAAGAAGAGAGCAAGTAGGTATTCCTGCTTCGAATGCGAATGATTTATCTCGAGAATACGTCCCTCCGGGTGAGCGAGCAAAAGCCAACGAATTTTGCAAGTTTCCCCCGGGCCTGGGTTTTCATTTGCATATCTACTGCCTTGATGCAGAGGTTACATAAAGGCACTCGAAGATATCTTGATCCTGTTTGACTTTTGTTTAAGTCAAAAGAACATTATATATCCGTTTCCTTAGTCGAGCTAGGAACGAATCAAGGAAAAGTCACGGCCTTCACCAGTTAAAAAAAAAAAATATCCATACGTATGTTCATCTGGAAAACGTAAATAATGTCAAAGGTAAATACTAAAATGGATTTACATCCGATTGCGTGTACATTGTGCATCTAAATATGTCAGGGGTAAGCATTCCCGTATATATTCCCTCTGATATTCTTTCACCTCCTGAAATATTCCCTTTAAGACAACGCGAGGACGTCAAGTAATTACACCTGCAATGTATATTTATATATACCATGTGTGCAAAGTTCACACGCTTATCCTTCCAATATTTCTTCCAGTCTTTAAAATATTTTTATTTCCTATTTTCTTCTTTTAGAGAACGCGCGCGGAGTAGTTCCGAATTCGGCCACCGACGCCATAGGGGACGGGAGCGCGGCGCTAGGGTCGCGGCCGGCGTAGCTGCATTCATCATTCACAGTCGACTCACCGATTGCATCAGGTCGTTGGGTAAGGTCAAGTACAATCTGGCCACGTGGAATCTGAGGGGATACGGAGGAGCGTCTTCCGCGTCACCCGTTGGATGCGGGGACACGGTGGTGTTGAGCTCCTTGCAGAGCGCGCTCGAGCCGAGCCAAAAGCCGTTTCCAAAATGGAATTGGGAGGAGTAACGACCGCTGGCATCCGACACTGCAAAATGAAAAGAGGCGGGGAAATATAATGGCGGATCCCCGATAATCGATGACGAACCGAGATCAGATATCCCATCCTCCGATTGAAAATGGAGTCCCTGGTAACGTTTCAATTTTATCTTCTCCACAGTGACTATCTGTTCTCGCTAAAAGCGGTGCAATCTCTCACGGCAATTCATGTCGACCAGTGATTAGATTTGAGATACATTTTTAAATAGGACAAAGTAAATAAATATCGGTACCTAACTTTTTTCATTTTTTTTTAGGGCTGGCGCTACCGGAGGAATAAATTATCCAAGGTGCACGAGACAACTCTCATTTACGCCTTCGAGGTGAAACTACTCACCAGTACACGTGAGACCTCCCACGTGTGCTGATGCGAAACTGCAAACGCTTGTTGCGTGTCTAAGCTTAAACAGAATCTGGGAAATAATGCGAAACGCAAAACCTCTTACGAGCCGCTCGAATGCAGGTCGGATGCACTTCCGGTGCAAGGACGAGCTCGAATCCGGATGCATTATTCGTCAATAATTTCTCCCAGGAATCTTAAATTCCATTTGCCTGCATTTATACCGACTGCAAATGGGCCTCTTAATTGGACTCGTTAATATGCATAGTGTAATTAAGCTTCTTTGTGATTGCCTCTCGCGAGTCCGTTCTCGATGTTGCATTGAACTCGGCGCTGCACATGTGGAAATGCATTACCGCGATGCATGTTTCTCTGGGAAACGTCTAAAAACTTGTCGGTAAGTTTTCACGTTGCATAATAAATCAAGAAATCGAGGCTCGTTCTTAATTACTCGTTCTCCATATTTGGCCGCTCTAGTTTCTAAATGTCCCTTTTAAATATCACAACTCCGACGTTTTCCTCGTGAAGGAATTTCTGGGCGGCTTTTCTTTATGCAATACGTCACCGATCCGCGGAGCAGTAAAATAACCTTCTTTTTGCTATCTTTGCTGGTCGATAATTGTTACCGAGTCGAGGCTATCAAAATTGCTGTTTCCAGAGCACGGTGGAGAATTTCGAGATATTGAGAGGAAGAGCGAGGATTAAGAATTTAAACTCGATGTCGAGGGTATTAATTCTTCGCCGAGGTAATTATACTATTTGGCCGAAGTGACATTTACAGTCGAGTTCGTAAATCAGCGTAATTAGAAAGGCTGCACCGGCCTGCAATTACTCTGACACTTAAAGCGATTCTTTCTCGAAATTTAATTTTTCGGAGGTTTTATGGGACTTGCAGGATGCCAAATAAAGGGGTGCCGATATTTCTGGTTACTGTACTCGATGTAAAGGTTCATTGCCAGTTATGTAAACTGTCCGGAGTCACTGCTAGTAGAAAGTGCAATTCTGCAGTCGGCTGCAGTGTTAAGGTGGTCGGGTTACATGGACGTTGAGGCATTTTCTCTTATTACGAAAAGTTATTAGTGGTCGTAGAAACGGTCCGTGTACGTAATGGCAGGAGATCAAACATCTTGCGTTGGCGCGATCGATACTTTGTAGAAAAAAAAGGGTGTCAATCAGAGCAAAGATCGAAAGTCGCCGATTTAGTTTGTCGAAGGGGGTGGTGTCGATTATAGTTACGCAGGGACTTTCAGTTTTAAATTACTGCTCTTGTTCTATATCTGCATCGGTTTTTAAATCATTTCTAAACATTTCAAATGTATTTGGCTCGAAACTCTGTCGGTATCAAATTACTGCCCGAGTTCTACATTCATCATCAATTTGTGCATCTGTGTGTGGCTGTGTGGGCGTGGCTGTGTGGGCTACATACATGCATCAATTTGTTTAATAATTTCTAAAACAATGCATAGCTTGGGAAAAAAATTATATCGACACTGGAAGTTCCTCGCATAAATGTACTTGGCTCGAATTTCTGTCGGTTTAAAATGTATGACCGAGTTCTACATTAAATTTATAATAATCAAATAAAATTTATGCATCGTTTGAGAAAAATCGAAATCAACACTAGGAGTTCCTCGCGCAAATGTATTTGGCTCGAAACTCATTCGAGTTTGCTGAGTGGAAAAATTGTCATTTATAAAATTCAAAGTTTGGCGATATGAGATGCGAAGAAAAAAAATTTTATGGCGGATAAATATTGAAGTTTAAAAATTGGGAGTGGGAATAATACTCATTTTTGAGAACCATGAAGCCAAGCTTAAAAATACCTGGCCGGTTACGTCGATGGAATTCGAGTCGTTCTTGACATTTCAAGGAAGGATAAAAAAGATGGCAAAAATCGGAGGCCTCACAGAATGTCTGGGCAAAGATTACACACATTATACTTTTGTAAAAGTATCCTAAATATATCGCGAAATGCCCGAGGCGAGGTTCTCCCCGAGGAACTCAAAAGTTAGTATGATTACTGGTTGACCTTAATTGAGCAGTTTCGAGTGAACAGCTCGGAGGAGTTTACGAATTTTTCAAACGCGTTTTTAACACCTGCCGAGCCTGAGGACTTGAAAGAGAAGAAAGAAGGAGAAATACTTCCTGCTGAAACGTCGCAAAAAATCAAACGGGTGTTGGAATTGGTTGCGTTAAATGCACATTACGCACAAAGAGCTCTCTCAAGTATTGCCGGAATTGTCTTTCACGTTTAAAGGCCCCTAGATTCACATAACTTGTTATATTTTTGCATTAATGTGTATATTTTATTTATCCCCGAGATTAATATCGAGGTATGTAAAAATAAGGTCTAACAACCTAGCCTATTATTTTCCACAACACTGCAGAACGGATATTCAATGTCTTATGTTACACCGAGGAGAAAATTCACTGAACCAAAGAAATATTTGGTTAGCAGAAGGAGTAATTATTTAACTGGAAAAAAACTCGAATAAATAGGAGGCGACATTTCTTTGGAAGCATAACAGTTTGAGTTTATTTCAGTCAAGTATTCTTGGAATTAATAAAAAATTTCTTTGGACCAATGAAATCTTTTTTTCCTTAGTATAGGTCCAAAACCGATTTTTTCGTTTTTGTGAAATCCCGCACGGCCCACGTTTTATCCATTACCCTAGTATGCATAAAACATGTAACAACCATTCCGCACACTCTTTTCCGCGGTCATAAGTTATGCAATTCCGAGAAACAGATTTTCGCTACAGTGCGTGAGTCTACGACTTTCTTTTTCGCGTGTGTTCCAAAGTATTCAAAGTCCTCGAAAGAAGGAAGGAACGAGTTTTGGAAGAAGAAAAAAAAAGAAAAAGGAAAAAAAAAAGAAAGTGGAGGAGGCGGGATTCGATCCTGCGAACTCACTCTTGGCCGCCCATAGATGTCCCCTTCCGAGAGCCCTCAGATACCACTCCATGTCTCTCCTGCAGGACTCTCCGAGGTTCCCGGGTACCCTGGTCCACTTCAGAGGGTCGTAAAGATCCGCCAGCCACTGGATGCTGTTTCCAGTCTTCTGAAGTTCCTCCCTCATGAAATCGACGTCAAGGTCCCTGGGCACTTGATCGTGGTTCGCGACCATGTGCAGCTGATTCTTCCAGTCGAGTTCCGGGTTGTTCTTGCTGAACTCGACGAGGGGTTTGCTAGGAGTCCTGCTTTCATTTTTGGAGCCATCGGCAGAGTCCAAGATCTCCAATTTCCCCCCATCGTGCGATATCCTGGAGGGTTTGCTCAGCCTGAGAATATTAGTTTCGTTCCCCGAAACCGAGGGCTGAACGACCCAACACAGGCCTAAGAAAAAGATGGCGTATCGCGCGAGATAACCCATTCTACCGCCTTCCCTCATCGGCATTCTCGATATCTCCCTCAGCTTTGAAAAAATTCTCGATACTTTTTCACAGGCAGATCGCCGGGTTCGAGGGGGGATGGACTGGATGCAGTTTCACCCGGGTTGGGGAGAGTTGATATAAAAAATCCCTGATCTCCCCTCTGACCCGGAAACAAAAAATTCACGAGGCTTCTCCTCGACGGTTTCGTTGATCCCTTCGATGGGGAAGCTTCCTGGTGATCGACTCGAGATTACCAAAAATCCGCAGTCCTGTTGGATCGGATGCTGACCCGGTTTTCCAGGTGGTCCAGCGATCAGCTGATCTCCGCGGGATCCCGACTCGATCCTTCCTTCTTCACCGAAGGAGGAAAGTCTGAGGGCTTTTCCGGCTTTTATATCCGGGCTTATGGAAATTCTTGAAATATCGGTCGATCGGATGGTCAGGTCTCGTTCCTCTCGGACGTCATTTCCGTTTCTGGGATGCGTATCTCGGATACACCTGTCGAACTCCCGTGGATCCTCGATGGCCACTGATCACTTGGTCGATCCACCTCGATCCTTGCCGCGCTAGCGATCTATCCCCGACGAAATCCCCGATTCGACTTGTCCTACTCAAGCCGGAAAGCCTGCTTACGTATTACGACCTAACGGCGATCTTTACTTTCCTTTAAGTGGCGTTCACGCGAGCGATTTACGATCGCGAGTCTCGTTGCCGATCGCGCGGTTCGCGTTGCGATTCCCCGCCGCCTTTCCAGATCCTCTGATTATTTTATCAGGTGTCCTGGGAGTACCGGCACCAAAAATCACGAAAATAAACGTTTATAGAACGACGCGATTTTTTTAACTGCGATTTTCCGCGACCTTTCCAAATCCTCTTTTTTTTTATATTTAATTACACTTCAACTTGAGTTTTGCGAGAAATCTGCGAATGTCGGCACCATGAACTGTCAAAAATCGACGGATATGGAATTTTTTTTCTGCGATTTTGAAAATTTTCGCCAAAATAAACTCGTGTCCGAGGGTTAGGACAGAAAGGACAAGAGAACTGAAAAGTTTCTCGAGAATCTGCGAATATCGACACGATAGACCAGGAAAATTAGCGGACGCGAAATGACGCGGTAAATTCTTTTTTTTGCGATAAAAGAAATTTTTTCCGGAATGAATTGCACAGTTTCTTGAGATCGGGTACCGAGATGCACACATGCGAGCCGAGTATCACGCACTGAACAGGCGAATCGGTCTGCTGTTGCATTCTGTCTTAGAGTCCCCTTTCTCCGGGCATTTCCTTCTTCGGAGGCGAACGAGTCTCGACCGCGATTTCGAGACTCGTTTTAAATTCGGGATGGAACAGTCCGAACTCCCCTTTGAGCTGATTTGCATATTTACGATTAATAAAATGGAATAAATCGTCTAGTTTTTGCGAGCCTATATCGGTCAGGACGTAACCACGCGCTTCTTGCGTAACACATGATTGATAATAATCTAAAGGGCACTGGAGCGGATATTAAGAGGAATGCATAAATTTAAGCAAAGAGTTAAACAAAGGTTGTAAAACATTTACGCAACCAAGGAAAGCGATGAAAGGTAAAAGTCATTACCCCAGCAGAAAAAGGGACATGATTATGGAATATTATGATATCCGAGAAGTCGGAGAGGCAGGATAAAAAGCAAAGAGTCCCGCTAGGATTTGTCCTCAAGTTTCGAAATCTCTGGCCTCTGTTTCCATTGACACGCACTTTCAATTTTCTACTCGGACACGATAGAAAGTTGGGAAGGAGATTTCGAGGTCCACTCGGTATCTCAGGATCGGCTAACGTCTTTACTTTCGACTTTGCCTCGTGCGCGATTCGGATAAAAATCTTCGCTTAGAATCTCAATGTTCGTCAAGACTTAGACAACTAGATTCCGTAAATTCAGATTTTTCTGAATTAACATAACCGACCTGGATACCAATTTCGAGATGTAGACTCCTGATAACCGGCGGATCTGTATATATTCGATATGATAAAAGATAAGGTTAAGGGACTTCCTTCTTTAACATCCCAGCCAGATTATAAAATGGTGGTTTATAAAACTAGTCGTTTTATAAAACGCGGCCAGATTGACAAATCTTCGTTCACTTATAATCAGCCTTATTTTACAGTACGGCTAATCAATTTATAAAGTAACTAGGCGTTTTTCAAAACGCTGGATTTTATAATCTGGCCACTTCGCTAAATTTCGACATGCTTCAATGCAAATTCAAAATGGACGCTTGATAAGAACAACGAGGGTTTTTTCGCGATACTCGTTATGTACAGAATAACAATAAAATGAAAGCCTCCTAGGAACGTATTTTAAAAATGCTGGATTTTACAATCTGGCCACTTTGCATAAATTTCAACATGCTTCAATGCAAATTCAAAATGGACGCTTGATAAGAACAACGAGGGTTTTTTCGTGATATTCGTTATGTACAGAATAAGAATAAAATGAAAGCCTCCTAGGAACGTATTTTAAAAATGCTGGATTTTACAATCTGGCCACTTTGCATAAATTTCGACATGTTTCGATCTAAGTTCAAAATGGACGCTTGATAAGGACAACGAGGGTTTTTTCGTGATATCTTTTATAAAGATAATAAGAATAGAAAGAAAGCCTCCTAGGAAGACGAGCACGATAGAGAAGATGGATTCCTGAGGTCGTTTCGGGCGCAAGATGTTGGAAGTCAAGAACAGATAGCTTATATCCAACTCCGTGCTCCGCACATGCGATCCGCGGAGAGGAGAATACGCCGTCAGCGGGCGGACCTAACCTCACTTTTCGCAGCCGAGTCCGCGGCAGCGGTGGTGATCGATTGCCGAAGAGCGGTCCCGAGGAGCAGCCGGGACCCATTTCTCAAGCCCGAACACGCGAGTACCCCATGTGCATGAATATTTGAGAAATTCCGAGCCGTAAGAGAAAAAGGGTCATCGAAATATGGAGGCGACGGACGGCCATTACGGCTCCGCGTCACGTGACTCGCAAGTGTCGTTGTCAGGTGCTCCATGGTAATGCCTTTTTCTTCTAAGATGTTAAAGACACCTGTTAAAGAAAAAACGACTATGTAGTCTATTTATAATTGTAGACGTGAAAAACTGGGCGAATGAACAGTGATTGTCAGCATTTACAGCTGAGATTTCGCTAATGCATGTCGCAAGAAAGCCGCCATTTTGGTGCCGTGTCACGTAACTCGCGAGGTGCTCCACGATAATGCAATCTTTTCGAGATATCAGGACCTATTAATGAAAAAACGAATATGTAATGCATTTATCATTATAGATTTATGAAATTGGGTTAACTAACACAAGTCACTATTCAAATTTTGAGTTAACCGAAGAGTCATATCGGAAAATGGGAGCAACACGGCCGCCATTTTGGTACCGCGTCAATTGACTGACGTCGTTGTTGGCTGCTCAATGATAATGATATTTTCTGAGATACCTGTTGAAGGATGAAAAACAGATGTTTAATCTCTTTGTAATTGTAAATATATAAAACTGGGTTAACTAACGGGAATAACTATCAAAATTCCGAGGTGAGAGATGAAGCATGTCGCAAGAAGAAAGTAACACAACCGCCATTATGGTCCCGCGTTACGTGACCAACAGAAGTCACTGGGTGCTCCAAAATGGCGAACTTGTTTACCTTTCAAAATCAACTGGCGTTTCGGGACAAGAACTACATATACAAACCATTTCGAATCGTAAATATGTAGATCCTAGTTACCTGACATGAATAACATCCCGAGTGATGCATTTGGAGGTACATTAAAACGAGGAAGTGACAAGGGCATCATTTTGTTCCCGAAATGTGACTTATGAACATCTCTCTGGCAGAGTGTCGGCGTTCTTTGTCCTCGTTTCAAACAACAAACACCTCGAGAGATTTGGCTTCACCACGGCCATTTCGAATAAGTTGTAAATAGGGGGCTGAAACTGTAGGTGCTAGGACGCCAAAGTTCGGATTATTTAGCACCAGAGAACTCGAGCCAAAATGGGCCGAGCTTTCGTGGAATTTCCTTTGTGTGGAAAATCCATACCTCCCTTGTTTCCGGAATACGCGATCGACTAGATCTTTTTACATTTCAAACTTCCGAATGATGGATTAAAACGGAAACCTGTGAAACTTGAAATATTTCACGGGCTTCAATTTACAACGTGCAGGAATTTGCGTCGAAATACTTCGAGGGAATAATTCCGCAGGATTTCCATCAATTTTTGGCAAGCCAAGTTTCGACTTGAACGTCCTTCGATCGAGTTCTAAACGCGGTAAGTTACCTAAGGAACGATGAGAAATTCCCGGGAACTTATCGGTCATTTCTCCAAAAATTTTATCTACCGAGAATTTATGAGAATTTCAATATTTGCGACGGAGCGAACGAGAGATTCTGATTAGTTGGTCCGGACAGCAATATTTTCTAATAGTATTCATCATAAGAACCTGAAGTATAAATATGAAAAAAATGAATGTTCTCATAAATTCTCGATTTTCTCGGTAACTTACGGCAAGTTTCACGGTTACCTCCTCCCATTTTATGCTACTGAGAATTTTCGACCTCGATGTCGAGTGACGTCGATAATGGCTGTCGATAAGACAGGTTTTCACGCGGTCGGCAATGTAGAACTCGCGACTTCCGAGTCGAGGACCTGCTCTCGAAGTTTCACCGAATAACTTTTTTTTTCTCTCTTTCGGAAACTGCGGCTGCATCGGATCCGGTTGGACCTTACGTAACCGAGCTTTCTCGTGTTATCCCATGTGTTTGCACATGCACGTGCATGTGCAAGTGCATATAAGCAGGAGACGCAGGTGTGCGTAAGCGACCGGTCCGTGTCCCTTTCTCGGTGGACGCGTTTTCAACCCAACTCCCATTGGTCCAGGCTGCTATGCCCATGGAAACCACCTAACCTCCCCACGAGAGGGCATCTCGGTTTTCATCTCCACTTTGGAGAGGCATTTCCCCGAAGTACGCCGCATATTGCCGAGCACGTAGATCGCCCTCGATC